CGTCACGGACGGGAGCCGGTTTGCTGGCAGGACTTCTAACCCCGCAGGAAGCCCATACCAGAGCAGGCTGCTCCAGAAGGACGGCACCCCATGGGAGGGACCCACGCTGGGGTATTTCATGAAGAACTGCCACTCGTGGGAAGGATTAATGACAGAAAAGTTCATGGAGGACAGTCTCCTGTGGGAGGGAATCCAGGCTGGAGTGGGAGACAACTGTGAGAATCCCTCCCTCTGAAGAGAAGAGTCAGGGTGTGATGAACTGACCACAACCCCCAGCTGGGGTGGTGGAGAGAAGACAGACTAACGAGCACTGCCTCTGACCTGCAGGCATTATAGTACCTCATTCTAACACCGCCTTGCAGAAGGGTGCAGATACCATTTACTGCCGTCACCCAGAACGGCACGTATCACTGACACTCACCTGGCTCGTTGGTCATGGCTGACCAAGTCAAATACATTGTGTAAACAGTGATCACAGAAGACTGCAGCAAACCAGATCTTGGCTGAGATTCCTATACAAAGGAGTCAAGAAACAGCAAATTTAGGCAATTAAAAGGTCTTGGGCATGACTATATTATAGGTTTCTGGTACTGACAATACAAAAAACCACCCCGGAAAGCGACAGAATTAGAACTATACCTGAATCTTCGGCAGAATTGACATTACGGAAGCACCAATACACAGCAGCATATTAACACTGATGAAGGTCTTGTTTTCAGCACAACCTTCCGGGTGAGTGTAATAAACATAAAACAAGACAATAGCTACTAGAGACAGCAGATAATTGGCAGCTGTAGCTGACAGCAAAGCTGTGAAGAGAGACAAAAACAGGGTTAAACTGGTTAATAATGGATGGTATTAAAATTGAAACAATATTGGATGATCATCAGGTTTTGGATATGGTATACAGTGAGAGAGCGCAGCTCTGGGCACGGAAACGTAAAGGAAATAAGTTCTTCTTGGTCCTCAAGGTGTTAAGGAGAAAGAACACCATAAATGGAAGGCCTGAAGCCACACTGGATCTCCAGCACTCCAACAGCAACCCAGAAAAGCAGGTACGTAGGAACACCCTTATACTACGTACACTCTGGCTAAAAGCTTCAATAAGAAAGGGAAGAACTACTTCCCCAATAGAAGGAAAAACAAAATCTTGCTTCCAAATTCCATCTTATTAAAAACATTGAAGAGTGAAGCGGCCACCGCACGAAGACAGGCTGCGCCGTCTCTTGAAACAGCTACATTACCACATCTGAAAGGCTGTATTAACATTAATATCTCCTTTCTCCGGTGACCTGTGCTCTCTCTTCAGTACTGTGGCCTTTCGCTCAGCACGTACCTTTGACGACTGACCAACTGGCAGACGGAAAGAAAACACACTGATTTGAGCTGCTTAGGCTCAACATGAAGCGGTGACAGGGTAGGTCGTTTACTACCTGGTGCTAAAGTGTAACAAAATCTGTGGCTGAAAAAAACCTCAAAAGCTTACAATTGCCACTTCTCTACTATCATACCCTACTCCCAGGGCTGAGATCATATTACTCAGAGGCTGCTGCCCCTCTCCCCACCCCCCTCTTATTTAGGGTGACACCAAGAGGACAGCAAGACAACTGCAATCTGGCAAAACGCATCACTCTGCATCGTGTACAACTTGATCCTAGTGCAGTCCCTTACCTGCATACCAGCATCTTGAGTTTCCTTCCTCCATTTTTTCGACCCAAGATTCATTCCAGGAGTGGGCAAAGTCAATGAGCAAGACCAGCTGAATGAGAATAAAGCAGAATGCCCCAGCCATACCAACATAAAACCACACTACAAGAGAAATAAAACAAAACCAGTTCAGACCCGTGGATAGTTTACCACCATGTCTTCATGGCTCTAAACACAGGGAAGTGCTGTGGTTACAGTTTTCTTAACTGCAGCTCTGTAAGACATCAGCAGGCACTTCGTTTGGGTTTAAAACCAGTTACGACTACACCATGGTGCAGTGGAAGACAACATTCCCTTACCAGTTGTAAAGGGTCCCTCCGGTATGAAGAAAGCTCCAACGCTAATTGCAAGTGCTGTTGCAAATTTAAAGAACCAGAATCTAAAAGGAAATTGAAACAAAGAAGTTAGGCAACTGCTGAAGTCTGATCTAATTCACAAATCTCACAAGTACACAGAACGCGCATCCATAAGAGCTGGTTTTTAGATCACTCATTTTTAACTCACTTCCTTTGAAGTAGAATAAAGATCTTCATCTGCCCAACATTTTCGTTCTCCAGAAAATCATGCTGAAGCTGTGCTAAACTGGCACAGCACTTGACACATTTCCCAGAGATACCTCACTGACACCTTGCCAGTGAAGCCAGAGTGGAATGTAACGCTGAGGGGCTGTGGGGTTTTTTTAAGGTGGCTTTTAACTAGAGCAGCGAGATCACTGAACTGCCTGCATACCAGAAAAATGGGTAAAACCCACCCAAAACATCCCTATCTGTTCTTAAAAGCAAAAAGGTAGGAGACAGAGTTGGTGCCCACAAAGGCAGAAAACATTATGCTGGGGTTCCCTACCAGTCCTGATTCATATCCTACATGACAGAGAGACACAAAAGCCTGGATTCTTCCCACCTATTTTTGGGCTCCGTAGGCCTACATGTGATGGAGATTTATCACAGTAACAAAAGCAAAGGATCTATCCTTCATGGAAAGGAGACACATAAAATTTTAAGTCCCTGTTCCATATTTCAATCGCTGACAGAAAGGTTACACCGCAGAGGATTAGAGAAGACACATAAAATTCCAAAACTCAAAAGGCAGGGGTTTCACAAAGCTCCCCATAACGCATACTACTGAAGCAACTAGTTACTACAGAAGTAAGTGTTGAAAGTAACATCATTAAATATTTCACCAGTAAGAGGTAATGAGTTATCATTTCTCCTTTTATCCTAATGCTGACACTACATAGGCTGAGTAAACTACTATGGGTTGCAGATACACCAACAACATTTGTACTGCAGAGCACAACTCCACGTACAGGTATCAAGACAACCCCAAACACTTACAAAGCATTTTTACCTAAAAGGTTCCACATCACCTACAAGGTGTTTTTCGTTGTAAAAAGCACAAAGAGTTGATACAGAATGTACCTGAACCATTTTCTTCTTGCCTGTACCAAGCATGCTCTCCTGAACAAAGCTGGCAGGGGGAAGGCTGAACTGAGTTACTGCTGCTGACACAGCCCAATACTGTACCCAGACTCCTTTTCTTTAGGCCAAAACCAAACAAAAGAACAAACAAAGCAACGTTCTGCTCAGTCTTCATTCTTTTCTTCTCCCCTACAGCAATAATTTCAAGTTTTTTGTGCTAGAAATGTTTAATCTTATTATACTGAATATAAAATCACCTCTTTGTTTTTATGGCTTAGCTCTTCACAGCACCCATTAAACCTAATCACCTTGAAAAGATCTAAGCAAATCACTGTGACCACCAAGAACCAGGCACCACAAATGGGTTTATGCCCGTTAGGGCCATGGCCTGTTACAAAAATTTGCATCTCCCTGCTTCAAGAAGCTACATTACACGTAGGCTGAGCCTGAAAGAACATTACCCCTTGTGTCAACCCACAGGCTGAAATTCCACTATTATCTTCTGCCAGATAATTCTAACTATAATGAAATACACAAAAGAAAAATGCATTGGGAAGCTCAGAAACTAAATACGTAACTCAGTCTTCTTTTTACAGAGGAGGAGACTGAAGAAAAGATAGCAGAGGGGGAAGATGTCTCATTATGTAGGTGCGTGTATAAATTATATATATATATAAAACTGTTATCTTTAAAATAAACCTGTTTAGCAAAGACCAAGCCCTTACAAACATCAAAGTTGGGAGGAATACATTTCCTAGAGGATAGATGAGGCTTTTTAATCCATTTGCTGAAAACATTCCAGTGAAATGAAACTTAGTGCCATTATTTGTCTCTGAATGTTGTCATCTTTAGACAAAAGAATCTCTGATCTTGGGAAAGCCTCTGGACAGGTTATCCACTGTCATAGTTCAGGCCCTAAAAAGCGACAGCCACGTGTATCTTTTCATCTTACAAAAACTGATCTGCCATATCCCAGAACTCTGAACACACTCCACTGCAACGCCACTGTGAAACTCTTTGTTAGGGAACAGCAGCTCTGCGCAGCACGCTCAGCCACAGGCTCCGTTTTCACAGCACCTGTATGTCACGCGCACACGCTGCCCAGCTCCACCCTCATTTCTGTATCTTACCCGTTGTGCACCGCTGCTCGCGGGTCGTTGCTGCTCTTCACTTTGATCATCAGTAAGGAGAAGAGAAGGAAGAACATGGCCATACCAAAGCACACACGGTACACAGCTTTGTAACCAACCAGCACATCGCAGTTCACGTGGCCATGCATGCCAGGAATAGTTGTTCCCATCCCTCCATCACAAAATCCAGGAATCTGTCACAAATACAACATACTTCAGTGACCTGTAAAAGGCCTCCCGTGAGTAAATACCTATTAGCAATTCACTAATACACAATTCATTAGTATTCTAATGTCATGCAACTATTAACACGTGACAGTGAAGGGCTGTATTGTCAGTCACACAGAGCGGTAGGGGCTGGAAGGGACCTCTAAAGATCATCTAGTCCAACCCCCCCGCTAGTCAGTCACAGCCTAACCAGAACGTTAAACACACTGAAGGAAAAAAAAATCCCACATAGGCAAACTCTAAACAAAACCCCCAAAAAATCTTATTAACTGGGGGGGTGGGGTGGTTGTTATTAGCAAATTCAGAACTTCTCAAAGAAATACAATTTTCATTTGTTAATCTGATTCAGGAGATAAATAAAAGATCTGGGATTTGGTAAATCTGACTTGACAGTTACTACCAAGTTGATGACATCACCAGGAAGAGGCAGCCTGCTTACAACTCTGAAACAAAAACAGCCTCCCCCCTCCCAAAAATCACAATCAATTAGAAGTATCTGTAGCTTCCATATGAAGCATCTGAGAATATCCTTTCCAGTCACTACCAGGACATGAGCAACACCTTTCTGAAGTCAAATCATACCCAGAGGGTGCCGTTTTCTGTCCTAGGTGACTACCATGGCTCTCAGTGAAGCCCTAATGTGGCTATACTATACGACACCGAAATAAACATTTACAGATTAATCATTTTGGGGGAAGAAAACCAAAAGCATGCCTGACAGAAGTTACCATCTACTAGGGAAAAAAAAAAAAAGACAGCAAAACAAAGACTAACAGCACCAAAGCACATCCCGATGGACGTTATCAACAAAATCACAGCTTCCTAGCAGCCACGGTAAAGAGATTTAACCCTTTCCTGGCTCAATCCAGCACACCTAGTTCAGTGACCCTATAAGCTCTCTCATAACTCCAATTATCGCTATACATCCACTGTGGTATCCTCACGTAACTAACTGTGCTGGGTTTTGTTGGGACAGAGTTAATTCTCCTCTCAGCAGCTAGGATGAGGCTGCGTTCTGGGTTTGTGCCGAGAAGAATGCTGGTAACACTGATGTTTTTAGTTGTTGCTAAGGAATGTTTACGTCAAGCCAAGGACTTTTTCAGTTTGTGATACTGCAACTGTGTTCCCAGCTTCTCTGCTGTAAAAATCCTACAAGCACTAATATCCCCAGTGAAAAATATGCTACTGTCATTAGTGAAAAACATTCTTGGTATGCATCTGCAGACTTTAAACTAGAATTTTAACTAGTACAGCACAAGGAAACTAGAAGACATTTCTGATTGTGGCTTTTTTTTTTTATTAGCAGCAGTCAAAATTAATCAAGTGCCACAAGCAGAAGCATCTCAGCCACATGTAATTTAAAAACATATAAATAACAGGGTTTTTTGTTTGATACAAAATTTTTTTTCTGCTCCGAGCTATTAAAGGAGAGGTGAGACTTTATTTCCAAATAGTGCTTTTCACCTGTGAAGTGACTGTCCCACAAGCTCTTTGTTTATCTGATCTACAATCACGTTAACGGGGTGACTGTGAAGCACCGGTGACAGCGTAATTACCTATTTTCAGATAAAACCCAGGCTTTCAAGATGTTGTTTACAATTATCCGTGACATTCACATTAGCAAAGAAGTAACCTGACCTTCTTCAGCTGCTCCTCCATGCCCGGTATTAACATCACACAGGCAACGCTCACGCCGAGAAGCAAGAAGAAGGCATAAATGAGCCGAGTTATGGTGGAGTTGTTCCCGCTGGGGCAGCACCGGCAGAGCAGGCACGGGGCACTTCCGCATAAGCATGGTATCTGACAGAGAGACACGACATCAAACACACTCCTTAAACGGTTCTGCGTGACCCGATTTCAACACTTATTCAGCCCGCGTGGACGGTCAGAAGTTACAATGGAAAAGGACGCTGCATCCCGGCACCCATGTAGAGGAAGTCGCTGCAACATGTCACAGAGCCTCCTAAAATTCTTGGCAGCGCTTCCTAACGCGCCAGTGAAATTAGTGCTATGTCAAAAGTAATCACTCACCCGTTCAGAGGAAATGAAGACTGGATTCAGGCTTATTTGTTCTCTCAAATTGTATTTCATTTCAGCTAAATGAGATGCTAGGATTGCTTTTAGTTAAGGACTACATCCTCCTTTCCACAGCTGCAGGGATTAAACAAATACACCACAGAGGATAATCTGACTGCAGCTGGGACATAGGTGTGCTTTCAGTGTCTGGCAGCGTAGGGCCACAACCTTCACTGGGGCCATAAACATTACCAGGGCACAAAAAAAATCATAAAATAGACTACAGCTTAGGCTGCAAATTACTGCATACTTAGCAACTACTCACCTGTCGCACTTCTCTGTCAGCTGGCAAAAATAACTTACACAATATAACAAGTTACAAACCACAAAACCAAAGCAAACAGGGTACCATACACCTCATCACTGCCAAATGTAACTCCACTCATGGCAGGAACCACAAAACCAAAGCAAACAGGGTACATACACCTCATCACTGCCAAATGTCACTGGCAGGAGTGGACAGGAATGCTGTACAGCTGTAGTACTACCAGAGAAAAAGATAGGACAGAAGTTCCCTGTATTACAAATGCTTAAACAGAAAATTGTGGGAAGAAGGAAAAGGAGCAGACTGTGCTATTTCACTGGGCAAGGGGGTTGGAGGGGTTAAAGAAAAAACAAACACCGTGAACTTCATCTCGCTGCAATTTTCTGCCACTTGCCGAGTGACAATTCAGGAAGTAAAAGAAGGACAAAACTCCGTAAGTAAACACAAGCCAGAAGAGGAAAGGCACAACCAAAATGGCAGAGTTTTTTTTCCTACTTCCAAACAAATTATTTTGCCTAGAAGACAACATCCCAGAGAGCAGTTAACAGCTCAGTTCTGGAGGCCACGTACTCTTCAGCTAAGGTGGAGTTACCAGGGCAGCACTGCCCTGTTGAGCTGTAAGAGGCCACACAACCTCTGACCACGACACCGAGGGGGGGTAAACCCCAGCTTCTCCCCCAGCACATGCGCAGGGACACCCCTTCCGTGTCACAAAAGCCACAGGTGTTCATCACCGCGTGAAAGACACCCAGTCAGCCACATTAAGAACATGACTAGTTACACAGCCACCTGACCAGTGCACGTCCATCATCCAGAATGACTGGCATGTGTCAGAAAGTTCTTAAAGGTTTAGTCACGTGACAACCAAAAATGCCAGCAGTCTGCTGGGACCAACCGACAAGGCCCAGGGGAAGAGCAAATGGACTGCCAGGGACTTGACAGCTGCCTCCTGAGGAGCCCTGGGGAAACGGCACGGATTATCCGTTCTTACAGGTTCGACCAGACCCACAAACTGGGTCTTGTAAATAATTTCCTTGTATTCTTTCTGTATTTGTGTTCCTTTCCAAGGATGGAGGAGCCAAGAATTTTCACTCCACTATGCTACAGAATCATTATTAAATTAGCAAACTTTACTATTAATTTTGCCTTGCTCAGGAAGGCAGATTCTCATTATAACTATTTTGGTATGTAAAAGGATTACGTTGCCCTTTTTTACCTCATCCACTCCATATCACTATAGCACAAAGACCATGTAGGTGCTGATTCCAGATGTTTCCTCTCTACATAAGAAGGGAATTTTTTTACAGTGAGAACGATCAGCCACTGGAGCAACCTGCCTGCATACACAGCAGAGTCCCCATCACCAGAGGTTTTCCAGGCAAAACTGGACAGGGTGCTAGATCATCTCACCTAGGCTCCCTTTCCTGTGAAAGGCTGGATCAGATGGTCCTCTGAGGCTGTTCTAGGACTGCAAGCAGCAACATTACGGACACCTACGCTTAGTAAGCAGGAAGTGCATGGCAAATATTGGCTTAGGATGCATCAGGATTTTATAGTACTAATGTGTAAGTTTTTCATGAAGAGGGTGGTGAACAGGTTGCCCAGAGAAGCTGTGGATGCCCCATCCCTGGAAGTGTTCAAGGCCAGGCTGGATGAGGCTTTGAGCAACCTGGTCTAGTGGAAGGTGTCCCTGCCCATGGCAGGGGGGGGGGAACTAGATGGTCTTTAAGGTCCCTTCCACCCCAAACCATTCTGTGATTCTATGAAAAGCTTTGTAGTGAAGAATATTTCTATTTTCTGTTCAAAATTTACTTCCATTATGCAATTCTGTTTGCATTAGTATTTTTAAAGATACTGTTGAATAAAATATTGAATTTGGCAGAGCAGAATATAAGCCTAAGCTCATCTGCTGCAGAAAATTTGGTGCAAGGGCAGTCTGTCATAAGACTAACTTCTCTGGAGTATCCCAGTGTTAAACTGTTTGTCAAATACTCAAGTAATTCAAGCAGCTTCCTCCTGAGCGCATCAAGGGGAACACAGAGGAATGCACGTTTCTGGAGAGATGGAGGCAGCTGGCAGTGGGTGAAATTCAGATGGGTATCTTCCCCTGACTGGGAAACAAGTGCACCTCAAACGAGGCAATATACCTCATTGAACCGTCTGAGATCCAGCACCAGCTCTTCCAACATTCTGCCCCCAGAACAGCTCATCCTTGCAAGCTGCGATCATGCACATCTCTGACCAACAGACATCTACTGTTAATTGATACTATTCATACATGTTGGCCACTTCCACAAGGTATCCCAAGTGCCTCTTTCTTTCTGCAAGACAGAATAAAATGTATAACCTTCCAATAAAATAGTGCTGTTGCACTACTGGCAAAAACACTTCTAACAAGCGACAGACTTCAGAAAGAGCAAACACACTTGGCTCACGGGATTGAGTTCATCAGCAAAGGAGACAAGGACAGTTTGTATCACCTACCTTCTTCCTAAACTCAGAGCACAGCTCCTACAAAAAAAAAATACTACAGCACAAACAGTAAGATACTACTACACAGATCAAAGCTTAATATGAACTCCCCAGGTGAAGCCCAGCTTAGTCATCGTTACTCTGCAATTACTTTTGAGCTTGCTTTCTTAAGGAAACTCTAACAACAGTTACTAAGTGGCAACTACATAAATCGAGTGCCATCCAGGAACTTTCGGATCTATCAACCAATTCACATCCCTGCAGGTTTTTTGAGAAAAAATTAGCAGCTCAGTGGTGTTCAGTGAGGCAAAATAAGAAAAGATGAGCCACACACCTATTCTGGGAACCGCCAGCTGGGCAGTCAAGTTAATTCATGCCTGCTAAACTAGTCACTTCATTGCCCAGGGCAGTGGAAATTGCAGGAGGAACACAAGATGAACACTGCAGAAGAGAGGAGAGACAAAACTCCACAAAACTACTGAAAGTCAAATGTTACTGCCCATGATGCACACAGAACAAGTTTTTAATATCAACCATAATCCTCTTACAGGGGTCATGGCTAAATGATTATATACTGAATTAAGTGTTTGCAAAAACACTAAGCCCCCCGCTGTGCCTAGTCCGGTTTTAGCTACATCATCCCTCAGCATATGCTTAAGGGAACCGATTCAATCAAGATCTTTGACTTGGTAGAGAATATTGAAGTGAGCAAAACAGCAGCTGAGCTATTTGAGAGACGCAAACCCCAGCAGAGTAAAAAAGCTACTGCCTGACCAATCTAGGTCATCATGATCTGAAAACTTTCAGTGAGATGACAGTGCTGTCAAGGCCTTCCCCCTCATCCCACCCTCTGCCCCTCACAGGCTTATCTTTCATAGAATCACAGGATGGTTTGGGTTGGAAGGGACCTTAAAGACCATCTAGTTCCAACTCCCCTGCCATGGGCAGGGACACCTTCCACTAGACCAGGTTGCTCAAAGCCTCGTCCAGCCTGGCCTTGAACACTTCCAGGGCATCCACAGCTTCTCTGGGCAACAATCTTTACTCTTACGAAGGCCTAACTGAAATACTGCCTGATCAGTGCATAGCGGGGCAGAGCTAAAATCAGCAGCAGCACCACTGCACAAAAAATCCAGAAGAAATGAAGGTATGATGCCAGACACCGTGGTCAGTTGCCCAGAGCAGCCCTGCAGGGCACAAGACACAGCCCTGCAGAGAAGCTACATGCCTGAAGCAACCCCGAGAGCAGCCTCTTCCCAGACAGAAGAGGAGCAGCTTCCCAGCCGTGGCACAGTCTGCAGTAGCTACATCTCTGCTACCTCACTCCCACAGTTTGTTTCTCTGAAAGAGCCACAAACGCTACTTATCCTTAGAGACCACGTAGGCGGATGTCTCCTATAAGAACTATCATATAGGCTTTAAGCGCTGATAGCTGTGGGTTTAGATGTGGAAAGAAAAACACTTTAAAGCCATCAGGGGAAAAAGGAAAATAAAAACCCAAACCAATTTGTTTGGGCAATCTAATTTAATCAAGATCACAAGCTCACCTAAATCATTTTATCTAAAAGACTATTAACTGAATTTCTTTGTACAGAACCCAGAGCAGGTATACAGGGATTCTTCAAGCACTGCAATACAAACACCAGCCAGTTATCAGAAAGACTGCTTATGCACTTGCAAATGCAGTGTACACTAACTCAAGTATTCAAATTAAAACCTATCGTTACACTGCCACTTAGTATTTGACAATAATTAAAAATGTTAACATTAACTATATTCAGCTAGTCATTAAAGCCTCACCAGCTAATCCATTAAGTACTGTTTAAAATGTTAATTAAAGCAAAATGAACACTGACAGTACTGCATTAACAGGATATTATCAGTGTTGTAGTCACTTATTTACATCTGTATCAGCCTGGAAGCTTAGCTCATACAAATTTACCTATTCTAGGATCATTTCATAGAATCTGTACAGCAGATTAAGGAGT